GGGGGGGGGGGGGGGCGAGAAATCGAGCCCAGCCTGGCGTGTTGGCGTTGTTGGATGTTCGTCAGAGCCCGCTTGCTTCGTGCAGCCGGGCCCTTTTCTCTATGTTGTTTGTGTTTGGATCCTACATTATTTTTCTCTTTTAGCCGGTCCACTGTTGGTTGCGTGTTTGTTTGGTTTGTTTTAGGGTTGCATTTATGTATTTCTTCATTCCTTGCAGTAACGGCCGTGACGTTGTTCCAGTCACACTTACTTTCACTTTTGTCGCGTGTAACACAGACACATGTATCCACACGAGACGCGACCAGGCGGCACTGGCAGAGTAGGAAGCTTTGTGGGCGAGGTGTCTCTGGAAGAATGACGGCGGCATACGGCGGTAGAAGGAAACGAGTGGCACTATCCCAACCAGAGTATGGCCTAGCGTGCTTCGTACTTCATCTGCGCTGCACGAAAAGCAGGTGTCAGCCTGGCTGGGAGTTTAAGCCCCGATCAAATTTCCCCCACAACGGGTCAACAAGAAGTGGAACAACAAGTGGATCTCGACGAGATATCTGGTACACTGATCCTCTCTCAAGATACCTTGTACTCGGTGTACTCGCTTGCTTCTTTTTTCCAACGGATGCTCCCTGTCCCCTGTAAAGGAGAGAAGACAAGGAACGCTTGCTGTTGTCGGATATCTTCACAACAGTGCCGCGTGACAGCTTAAGAGTAGGACAAGATGAATCAAGACCATCTTGATTCTGTCTCTCTAATCGTAGCCCCATCAAGAGTTCCCTCGATAGTTGTATGGAAGGGGACCCCTGGCAGGAAGCTCGAGGCGTGGTCAAAGAGGGTCACACAGGAGGGGATATTGTTAGGTCTTAGCCCTTTCGTGCCCAAACACGGGTCTGTTTGTCTACGCATGCAGTACCCCCAAAGGGGTCGCGGCAGCGACACGATTCAGAACACCACAGGTGGAAAACAAGGGAATAATCAATCTCGCTGGACAGGTGGATGGCGCTGAGCTCAGCACATGACTGTCTATTTCCCACTACTTCCTCTAGGCGGAACACTTCTAGTTGCATTGCCGACGTGCCCAATCCTGTGATGCAGCCGCGGAATGCTTGCGGGAAGCATGCTTGCTGAATACTTCGCAGAGGCCACGCGCGTTAGGCTCACATTTAGAGCAGGACACACCACCACACCGCACGTACACATTTGTAGCACGACACGTACGTCAGAAAACCGTCGTGAAAAGGTTGTATGTGTGCGTAGGCACACGAGTAAATACATGTCAGGGAGCAGAGCAAGTGAGTGCCGTATTTCGGTCCTTGGATATTCTGGATGACCGAAAATAACGCACAACTCTACGCGCTCCTGAGTATCTAATACGGGTCATCTTGATTCATGGGCTCTACATCCCAGCCATCAACACAGTAGGGACCCCCCACCGACAAGTCGGCATTGCTGTGCCCCCGACGACCATAACCACCCGCTGCTGTTGGCGGCCCCGCCGCCCCCACCCCACCAGCGCTTGCCCCCGCCCCCTCGTCGTCCACACTATCCCCTAGGAACAACCGGCACAGCAATCGTCGTAACGGTTGAGGGAGTTTGTTGGTGCCGGCCCCTCCGCTGCACACCAAACCGCCCAACAACGCATCCGCCCTCTTCATCCTGGCGGCATCATCGCCAGCTATACCGTCCCCGCTAGCCGCGCGCTCGAGGGCCAGCATCAGCCCCAGCGGCGAATCGAAGGCTCGGACGATAGCCTCCGCCCTCGCCGCGCTGCACCCGGGAGCCTGCCGCACCATGGCTCCCAGCACCTGCCTCACCGTCGTGGAGCCCGCACGCTTCGCGCAGCCCTGGGCGTACTCCCCGTAGGTCATCGCCGGCCTCAGCATCGCCCTCCCCCCCGAGCACTCGCGGGACCCCCGGACGGGCGAAAGCCCTGCCTCGCGTCGGCAGGATAGTTCTAGGAGGGACGCGATGTGGCGGTGAGTCCGCGCGAGGAAGTTTACGGTGTCGCGCAGGCCGTCGCACTGCACCACGGCAAGGCCCCCACAGGCCTGCGACGAGACCAGGGCTGTCCTAAGGGCGGCAGGGGCAAGCTGCTCCTGGTGGTTCAGGTTCCCTTCCACCAGGTAGATGCGCCGCCGGAGGCCGCTCAGCTTGAGGCGTCGCTTTTGCTCTTCGTAGCTGATCCGACAGGCGGACGCAGGTGGAATGGATAGGATTCACCCCACCCCCAAAGAACAGAACCAGAGTACGAGAGACACGAGAAGGCGTGAGAGAGGGAGAGAGGGAAAGCGTGAGGGAGGGGGAGGGGGAGAGTCGGCAGGCCAAGAGCAAGCATATGTACATGTAGGCATGTAGGACAGTTACGGGTGGGATGGGGGGAAATACAGAAGAGAAGAGTATCGGTGCGCAACAGCACGCGGATCGTAATCATTTCGGCCAAGAAAACATATGGGGGTGGGGCGGGGATAAGAATGATGCCCTATCATCGGTAAACAAGTAGGAGGTTTGTGTGTTGACGAGTATAGAGGGCGCCATAGCAAAAGGTGGGGGTCGGGGGGGGGGGTCAGTATCGAGGTCCAGAACTCGCCCATGTTCTGCAACGACGCAATAGTCACACGCACGTCTCGCCCTGATAACTAACATTTATATAAAGTCACAATCCAAGCGGGTCACGAAACGACGAAACAGTTAAAAGTACCTAAAAACANATGTTCTGCAACGACGCAATAGTCACACGCACGTCTCGCCCTGATAACTAACATTTATATAAAGTCACAATCCAAGCGGGTCACGAAACGACGAAACAGTTAAAAGTACCTAAAAACAAGGGGAAGTACGAAAACGAGAAAACTGCACCCAGAAACACACACACAAAAACATATTCGTGCATTGAAACGGCGAAACGTTGGGAGGAGAGAAGGGTGGACGCCACCAAACCTTGGCTTACCGGCCATCGATGATGCTGCTGGCCAGATCCGAGGCCGTTTTCCGCTCCACGATGTAGCCCAGCAGCACCTCCGAAGTAGGGTCGTCCCTCTTTCTAGCTATCCAGAGCATGTCGCCGAGCGGTAGCTGTCTGGTTTCGCAGCGTATCCCCTTCTGCAGAAGCGAAGACTGAGATCGACGTGGCAGACAAAGCGGGAAAATCAGGTTTCGATTATTTTGCGGGTGAACTTTCCCACCCTTGGGAGTTGAGACAGCAGCGGAGTACAAGATGTTTACATTTACCCGCGAGCACAATAATAGAACCGCGTCAAAAGGTCTACTTCTACCCATCTCTCAAAAGAAAAGTTGAGACAGGAACAACGCTCCGTCCTCTCGAGGACGCGTGGTAAATGATCTATCCGCTAAGTCATGCAAAACATAAGAGTACGCCCCCCCCCTGCGCCCCCACCCTCCCCTACCCGTACCTGCACAGACATGAACTCGTGCTCGCGGTTGTCAACGACAAGCCACGCCTCCCACTGCCCGCTGAAAAAGCTGGGCGCCTTCGACGAGCGCGCGGTCTCGCCACTCGCCTCTTCCTTCCTCGCGCGCGAGGTCGGCCGCTTCGGCGTAACGTCAGGCGTTGTCTCTTCGCCGCCACCGCGAAGCGCGGCGAAATTGGAAGCCAGCGACAGGGGCCGACCACCGGTGGTTGTCGTTGCGCTGCTGCCCACCCGGAGGTTCATGCGGAGCAGCGAGTTGGTGTCGGAAGGAAGACGGCTACCAGCATCAGCATTCGTCACAGACGAGGTTCCGGTACTCTTGTTGCTGGATTTTCTAGCTCCTCCTCCCCGGGAAGACGAGCTTCCGGAGGGTTCGATATTTTCTTCGTCGGTCCTGCGGACACCGCTGCTGTTTTCGGGTTCCGGTCCGGCCGGCGGCAAGCCACGCAGCATTCGGCGGGCGGTGAAGCTCCCTACCCCTTCCAGTGCGCACGCCTCCTTTTCTGTGGTGATCGGGAGGGGGTAACGCTTCAGGGACTTCATGGCCCGCATCAGCCCGTGCCTGCAGGGAATGCGTAAGCAAGCGAATCGACGCGTCGTAAGAGAGGGTTGGATGTCACCGCCAACGAGTCTCTTTGGATGCTCTGTACGTCGGGCAGCAATTCCTTACGCGCCAAGGAAAAGTACGGTGCGCAAGCTTATTGTGATATCTTTTCCCGCTCTCCGTCCAGCAAGCCTCTATCCTTCGGCTTCTCAGCTACCGTACTCCCAGTCCTTCGCTCGAGCTAACTCTGCGAGAACATCGTTTCTTTCCGGAATTCAGATTCATTTATATATCTCGAAAACTCGCCACGCCGCGCTGCCTCCTCTCGCTGTTTGGAAAATGTTACTGTTTGTGTGTACTCGGCAAAACACGGATCTCCGAGATCTCCCGAGGCTTTGTGGATTGGATAATATGAGTGTGATGGACTTGACGCGGGAGGCTCTCTGCCTTGCGCGTCTCTCTCCCCATATCAACACTTGGAACTTGAGTTTCTCCTTTATGCAGAAAAGCTCTCGACAAGAGCCAGCGAGCGCGACAAACGAACTATACGTGCCGACACACCAAGCAGAAGCTAGCTCTCAATTCTGCCTCCTCTCGCTCTTTGGAAAATGTTACTGTTTATGTGTACTCGGCAAAACACGGATATCCGAGATCTCCGGAGGCTACGTGGATTGGATTCTTATGAGTGTGATGGACTTGACGCGGGAGGCTCTCTGCCTTGCGCGTCTCTCTCCCTATATCAACACAAGGAACTTGAGTTTCTCCTTTGTGCAGAAAAGCTCTCGACAAGAGCCAGCGAGCGTGACAAACGAACTATACGCGCCGACACACCAAGCAGAAGCTAGCTCTCAACTCTTAATTTGATTGGTTATCTGGGTTAGACGGAGTACGAAGAACTCCTTCCTTCATCCTCCTTGATTCTCGACCTCTCAACTGCTACCATACATATCTCGAGCCCCGATAGCGCAGCTTGGAATGTATTTGCCTGCCTGCCTGTCTTTCACACGTACACACGGCCAGTAGATCAGCGATGGCCTTCGCCGTGGAATCGCTCGATTTCGGTCGAAAAAGTGCAGCGCTGACAACGTTACTTAGTAAAACCTTGTAGTTCTCGAGTATCGTATGCACATATTTCCCGACAGAGGCCGCGCGGACATGGGCAAATAAATTTGCAAATTTGCAAAATTTGCGCGAAAAAAGTTGCCATCAATATCATCTCAAATAACGCGCCGAAACCACAGGGGCATTGCTCTACTTACCCAGGCCAGGGAAACCGTTCCGTTCCACCATTTGTAATGGTACCCGTCAGTGCGACAGCGAGGGCAGGCTTTGTCGGGTTGAACTCATGGAGACAACCACGACGATCGTGATTCACACAACTACAGTAGTCCATCAGAACTCTGTGTATCATGGAACAATCGATGTGATCAGCATGGCGTGGGGGCGTCAAGCCTAAGTTGTCTCTGTTGCAGCACAAATACACGCAGGAACAACATTCGCATAGCATAGCACACCTTGTGACCGCTGGCCTGCGGTGTTCTTGTGTACGTGCCAGTTCACCTGCTGCGCTTGAAATGGACCAACGGCGGTTTTCCGTACAGCAACAGCAGTCAGACAGGAAAACGAACACAATGTGAACCTCCGATAGACCAGCAATCTGCCCCACCCAGCAGCAGCTTCCTAAGTGTGTCGGTGCAACCGAAGGACGTACCTGAGCTTCACCTTGCCGGTCCTCAAGCACTCCTCATCCAGGCTCTTGAGCTCAACCAGGAGAGGGCCGTTCGACACACACGCACAGCAGTCCGCCGTGTTGAGCACTCGTGCTAGTGCAGAAGCATCGCTACCGCCACGACCGCTGGCCACAATCTTGCCATGGGAGTTCCCATCCTGACCCCCGAACCTCCCCCCACGTCCTCTTCCGGCCATCGCGGATCCTGAAGTTGGCTAGGCTATGCATGACAGGATAACAGGTGGGGTTGTCTTGGTCGAAGTGGGGGTACAGCACGTGGCAGCAGAGACGGGAGGGGGAGTCGATCGCACGACATCTGTCGTAACCCCCTCTGGCTGGCTTCGGGCCAATGGTATCACCATTGCTTCGGGCTGGGTTTGGTTTGGCGAGTGCGGACAAACTTGCTCGTGTGTGACCACCTTCTGCCAGACATCAGATCTTGAGCCATCAGGATTCCCTCATGACGACGACTAGCTAACTCGCCCCAGGTATGCTGGATTGTAAACACGAAAGCGGTACTGTCTGTCGAGAAAGAGGAGGCAAGAGGTTCTCCAAGAGCACGCCTTGCCCGCCGCAGCTGCTTCTCTGGTCTCGGCTGGGGTTGAGCCCGGACCCACAGCAGTCACGAGTGGTAGAATTATCTACGGGATCGCGCACGGCCGTGTGTCTACGTACTGCCGTATGGTGCATTCCTACCCGTGCTCCCGTGCTACACTACTGTCGACTCAAACTACCTGTGCACACACTCGATTTTTTCTCAACCAGCAGCTGCAATTGCACCGGTCACAGCAGGAAAAACATTTTAGAACAGCAGCGGCAACTGACTGCGGTGTGCAGCAATAGGACTGCAACGCCTGGCGAGGGAAAAGCCGACGTGAGCTGTTCCAATAGTCCAGCAGACCCGGCTTCATCGCGTTTTTCCGCCTTCTCTCTGCCCCATCACAAGCCTGATGTTTGAGGAAGTGGAGCCGAGTTTTCAGACCTCATTTACTATTTGCTTGTTTTCAATACCACGATTACGTCGTAGTCGTGGTCATAGTCCCAGTTTAGCGGTCCTAATGGTGTCACAAAAATTTGTACAGTAACCGTTTTTGTAATCTGGGCACCGCGGCTAAACCTCTTGTATGTAATTAGCGGCTATGAACCGCTAAACCGAGAAAAACCCATTTTTGCCCAACAGGGCCATGCATATTTATCGTTGCAGCAGTCATACGGAGGTCTGGATGAAGACGAAACTTCCCGACGTAGCGAGTACAACAGCAAATACCGCAAGGTTGCGAGTTATCGCGCGATCGTGCAATGCGGTCCTCTTTTGAACATTTTCGCCATTTCATTTGCGTCGCACCCCTGTGCGATGACTCCGGACCCTGTGCGAAGTCGAATTACGTAGTAAATCATTTCGCTATATAATTTTGCATCGCACCCCTGTGCGATGACTCCTGACCGTGCCGTGACAGGCAAACGTGTACGGTACGGTACACTGTTAATATCATAAGTGCACTTCAATTCACGAAAGCACAAAGCTTGTTCTCCCTTCTGGACTGTATGTTCCTCTGGAAGACTGGAAATAAATCGTTGGCGTCTGTATCGAACGAGGGGCAAATTCGTGACAACGTAATTGCAACCAACCACGTGCTTGAGCATATCATTTCTGCTATTTGCCGCGTGTATCGATCAGGCTTAACCGAATATCCCTCTGATTTCTGCCTTGCGGGCTGGTTGAGCGGCGTGCGTTGCGAGGAAAGCCATGTTTGCCTTGCGAAGATAGTGTGCTGTCTCGCTCACGCCATACGACTCCGCGCACCCCTCAAGCTGACCAAAATCCGACGATGGCTCCGAGTACGGCGGCGGTGCCGTCACCCCCCTGCCGTTCACACCGTCAACTTCTGTCGTCCTACCTAGCTCTAGCTCTAGCTCTAGCTCGTCGGAGGAGGGTTTAGCCCCTCCGTGTACATACTGGACAACTTCTCAACGAGCTCGTCGTTTGCGTCCTTCCTGCAAAGCTTCGGCAATCTTTTCCTGCGCGCTATTTCTGAGTGCGCTACCTTCTGGTCAAGAAGCTCCAAAACCTCAAGTATCTGGCCAACGTTGAGCCGCGTGCGGGACTGTTGTGTAGCTGCAGCACGAGTTAGTTGTTTCCCCGAGCCTGGTGCTAAAAAGCCACCTTGCACCGCTTTGCGCGTGGGTGGATTTGAGACGCGAGGGGAACTCTGCGCCTTCTTGAGTGCACACTGGTTGCAATTGCGGTGCATCTCGTTGCAATCCGAATCCTCCACCACAGCCACCTTTACAATGGTGCGCGCCGCTTGGACACAGTGCCGTATCTGGAAGCTTGCACAGTTGTCTATCCGCTCACCGCATAGAGTTTGTGTGTCTTGCTGCGTGCCTTCATTTTTAGCATCAACCACGCTAACCGGCTGACCAACCTCGCTGTGTGCTGTGAGTGTGTGCAAGCGAAGCGCGCACCGGGTCTCCGCAACATTTGAACCGATAACCGCTTTTCGCGGCTGAAAAATGCCCTAAAACCGCTATTCAGGGCATCCCGCTACACAGGGAACCACTAACCGGGGACCACGACTTGACTGTGATGTGGAATGTGTAACCCCATGTACAAACCGTCCTCAAAGAACGAGATGCTGTTGTTGTTTACCGTACGCATACAACGAGGACTGTCTAAGGGCATGGGTTTTAGAACAAGAGCAGCTTGACCAGCCTTTCAAACGCTTTTCTCCCATCCCTTGCTTGTTCCTCGCCCACAGGATGTCTATCCCCGACGCTGCTGCTGCCACCACCACGACCTCCTCCGTTGGTGCAATCGAAACTGTCGCTGCTGCTGCGGTTGGCGCCACCTCTGCCGTTGATGCCACCACTACCGCCGTCGTAAGAATGGCGCCAACAGCAACGTTTTCGACGCTTCCGCTGGGTCCGCTGGCCACGGTGGTGCTGTACTTGACGGTGGCCGACATGGCGCAGTTGATCGGGACGAACAAGGAGATGAACACGAGCGCTCTCGACTCGCCCGAGTTCTGGCGGGAGCGTTGTTGCGGCACGTTTGGCCGTCACGTCGACCACATCGAGGTACGTTCACACTTATTGATTTACATCGTATTCCAACAACACAACAAGTCCATCTCTATCCATGGAAGAGGATCAACGTGTAGGATAACATAGTAATGAATTCACAACAAATCTATATCCATGGAATAGGATCAACATGTAGGACAACATGGTAATGAATTCACAACAAAATCTATCTCTATCCATGGAAGAGGATTAACATGTAGGATAACATAGTAATGAAGTCATAGCCTTACCGGATCATGCCTGAGGTTCTACGATTGCCTTACCCAAGCTGCATACAACGATATCCATGTGATCCTCTTACAAACACAAATATACCTTGTTCTTTTTGATCGGTCAATCGGGACCGGTGCCCTTGGATGCTTTCGTGAGGCCTAGAGTTGCTTGCTTTTCTTGGAAAATCGAGCCACTCGGGTCGCCCCTGTCCTTCGGCTTGCATGTTCCGCGGGATGTATCCACTCACCTACTCGCTCTTGCCCCTGCTTCGGGGAAGTCTGTTTACCTTCGTCAACACATGGCCTCTACACTGCTGTATTCCCGGTGTTGTTTTTCCTCAACGTGAAACTTGTCGGAAGGGGGCGTCGTGGGGTGTTGTGGGAAATCGTTGGTATGGTGAAGCGGCGACCAGTTGGGCAAGGACCGAAGCAACACTCATAATTGTAACATTTGGTTTCTATGTGGTGACGTGATCAGTTTCTCGTTCACTCCCGCTTTCACACCGTTGGGGTGGGGATAGGGATGTATATCTTGGTCCTCAGATTCGATACGACGCATCTATTTGCACTGACTGTACTGACTGCTGGTGCCTTCCGTTGTTTGTCCGTGTCAAGCTCCTCTCTTCCTCTTCCTCCCTCCCGATCTCTCTCCCTCTCTCTCTATCTCTCTCTCTCCCCCCCTCGCTCCCGATCTCCCTCATTGATGAATCCAGTCCGTTGGCAAGAACGAATTTCGAGCGTTCCACATGGCAAAGATGCTGATGCTGCCAGGCGAGTCGAAAACCAACTCGTGGTTGTCGGGAACGGAAGCATTCGAGCGGGACGTGTGGACGCGTCAGCTCCTGAGCTCTTCCGTGGGCGCGTCGAGCCAAGACAGAAACGACGAGGTATGTAGGCGATGTGAGCGAGCACCGACAACATTGTGATACTGCAACATGTTGGTCAGCAGGTCACTCTCTGGTTTGTTTCCTCCACGTGGTGACCCGGTAGTCTGAAGTGGTTGAAGGATGCCATGGCACCAGGACTTTTCTTATACCTTGGCGCAGCGCAGCAGCGTTTGTGGAACAGACTCTGGCCATGAACCGCCTTTGGTTGACGTTTTTGTTCTCTCTCTCTCTATCTCTCTCTCTCTCTCTACTCTCTCTCTCTCTTGCTCGTGATGGACTCCGAACGGAAAGGGCCCGTCTCACACGCTATTCGAGTCGCGATGTGCGAGGATGCTCCAGGATATGCCGTGTGAGAGGATGCCCCGAGAGGCGTTGGCTTCGATCGGGAAGCGATGCCAGAGCGATTGGTAGGTCTCAGGTCTCAGGTCTCAGGTCTCACGCCTGTTCGATGGGGAACTCCAATATCCAATTGGAAGTGTGTTGTGTTGTGTGTTGTGTGTTGTGTGTGTTTTGTTCACGGCGTTGGGGAGTATTTATTTTATTTTTTTGGTTTTGGGGACGCCAAATGGTAAAAGCCCTTCACAGTCCACAGTAGCACACACAAGCTACCGCCAGGACTCTTTATGATAGTATGTTGAAGGGTTACCGTAGTCGTTCGAGTAGTGGCACCCCCCCTAGACCGACTTTCAAAGCTCGACCGATCGATGGATTCGATTGCTCCACCATCAATGGGGAGGATGCTATTCATCGAAAAACCAAGCGACAGATCCAAGCAAAGCGCGTGAGTCCCTTCCACAACCGCTCGTGCCGGCAGTGATGCACCCTCGTAGTTGTGGAACCATCTTTGGACCTAGGACAGTCAGTCTTACGTCTTAGAGGGGTGAGATCACTCGCTCAAGGTACTATTCTGTAGTACTATCACTTTAGGCGTTGGTGATTCGTCTGCGCTTTCCTTCTTCTGAAATGAGGCATGTACAACATACGTTGGTTGCCTGTCAAGGAAGATACACGATGAGTTAACAAGGCACGTGGGGGAGTTTGTATAATATGAGACTGTGTTTCCCATCACATGTCGATAATGATGGAGTGTGACCAAAATGTTGGCCCCCGTCCAAGTGCTTGAGTCGTGACAGGGCAGAGTGCCACGCGATTCCTGTCTGCAGCTGCCCCCATTCAGCGGTGCCCGCCACCCATGTTTTCTTGCTTTGGTGTTGGGAGCCTGAAACGTACACGTTGCCCCTTTTGCTTTGCTCGCACTCATGCGGGCTAACCTATTGTATCTGCTGTTCTCTTGGTGGGCGCTCTACGCGTGCTTTCTTGCTTGCTTTCCTTCTTTCTCTGCAGTGGGTGCGTGTGGCTCGATAAGTGCTACTGGTCTAGCGAGCCTTCACCCACTGCAGACAAGGAAGAGTGGCTTGACTACGACATGGTGAGTCCTTCTTGTTGTTGGCTCCACATTGGATAGCATGTTGCTGCCCGAATTTTGTAGAATAGTCTCCTTTGTTTTTTTGCCGGTCTTGCAGGGGGTTCTAGGGTCATCGACGGGTCACATGGGCTTCGTTTGATCCGTGATGACCTGCAAGGGAGATCAGATACATTGATCAAACGCTCTCGACATGTTTCGCAACATACCATGGCGTGTGCATGCAAAGAAGCGTGATAACCCACAGCAGTAGCGTTGCGCTCGTTGTTTGACCTACAAGTTTGACATGTGCCTGAGACAAATTGTCCGCAAGATTTGACGCAGATACCAAAGTACATCCGTTGAAGCACATAAAATGAACTTGGTGACCGAGTTTCTTTATCAAGGAAGCGACGGTAACTCGAGTCTTGAGTCAGAAGCACCTGGTACTTGCGTTCGGGGGTCCTCGATAGGGCCCTGAAAAGCCAGTGAGTCTCAGAAAACACTAAATAGCAAAAAAGCTTCGTGTTCGCAACACCTGCTCCGCTCATCTTATCATACGGGTTCAGAGGATGAGTGATACGACCGTACTGGCAACTCCTTGGAGGCTGCACAGAGGTTGGGCTGCCTGCCTGCAGCATTCGAACCGGGTCAGCAATGAGGCGACGTACCCGGCAGTCCTGGGTTTGTACGCCTACCGAGGCTTGCTGTGGAGTGCAAGACTAGTATGCTGTTCGCCCATGGCAATACACTGCTGTTGCGTGGGCATGAAGGTACTGAGTGCCCCCCCCCCTTCCCGCCCGCCCCCGCGCCCGCCCCCGCGATCGTTTGTTTTGCACGGCTGAACCCCCGCAGCAGGAGAACACGGTTGCGGTGGTTGTCTCGTTCATGCTGACCCCTTACACGTCCTTCTGGCAGCCCGAACAGCCGACGTACAACCCAATCGAGGCTTGCTTTCAGCTGATGCACCCTCAAGTCGACGGGGGCAAGACGCCCTACTAAGAGAGCCCTCGGTTTTTTGTGGACCCCCACATGAAGGTTGGTCTACTGTAGCTCTCTAACAGGGGTGCTATTTCGAGAACGGCAAGCCCGGCATACATAGCCTTCGGCCATGCTGTTGTGACTTGATTTCGGGAACTCACCCAATACTGTTGTGTTCCCCATGCAAGTGAACGCAGCATGGATGTTGCATCCCGGCTCGTCCATGAGACGTTTGCACAGAAGTGCGACGGCTTCCGACTCACGAAAAAACTACAGATAGTAGTGCGAGTGCTCCATTCGGAACGCTACAGCAGTATGAAATTCTACTCGGTTGGGGAGCAGGGACCTGGATTTGTTCGGCACACTAAAAATGCGTGGCATATCACTGATCTTGCCACCCAAGCAAGGTAAATGACCCCCCCGCCCCCCGCCCTCCCTACGTGCGCAGCGCCAGCAGTACAATTTGCCCCGGCCGATCGTGAGTTTTGGCGGGCGGGTCAGGATCCGCCTCTTGGGGATGGCGCAAAGGCAAACCTTGCCGGAGAGCATGGGTGCGACAGCCAACCACTACCACACCTGCATCTCCTACGCGGCGCTTTGCGGGACCCTCCTCCTCTCTTGCTCTATTGCCAACCACCCTGATGGCCCGGCAAGCCGGAGCGCCAAGATTCCCCCTGTTGCTACCATTGGCAAAGGACGAGGAGCAGGAGGGGGCGAGGATGTCGACCAGGGAGGAGGAGCCGCCAGCCCTATCAATTGGAAACAGAAGACCAATGATAAGTTGCGCATGCGGTGGGCCGTGCTTGTGCACGTGTACCCGGCCAAGAAGCCAGATAACGAGGCAGCCCTCGACCATAAAAGAGCGAAGAAGCCTCTCAAGGTTAAGGTTTATAGCGACACGCCCTGCCTTGAACTCCTTGAGATCTACTCGAAGTTTTACTTTCCTGACGAAGAGCGTGCCCGGCTGGCGCTGACGGGAGGGATGGAGCTCCCCGCTGAAGATGGCAAGCTCGTTGGAGAGTTCGCCGTCCACGGAAAGCTGTCCCTTGTCGACCCGTCCAGATAGTAGTGGGATCAAAAGAAAAAAACTTTTGCCAGGGCGTGGAGCTTTTCGCCGCAACGATGTACTAGCGCAGGCCGGCTGCTAATGGGAGGACGGGAGGAAATGATCGGCCTCTCTGTCACCAACGGTGCTTACGATAGCGCAGCAGACCGATTGATTTTGGTCCGTGGCCTCTCGCGTACGTATCGAGATGATGTCGAGCGGTGCTAGAGGAGCATCGTGGGGGCCTGGGGCTGGGGGGAAGGATCGCGGTGATGCTTTCGGCAGACAGATATCTACCAGCGGCCATCTGTGGTAATCATTTTTTCTTTTGAAACTTGACGGGTAGGTATTGAAATAGTTCGGTGATGGTGTTCTCGAATAAATTCACTGCACAACTCTCTTCGCAAGCTGTAGGGGGGACGGGAACGTGAGCAAGCCGTTGGGCTGATTTTGCTGAGAATACGTCAAGAACATGTACAATACTTCACAGGTCAGTGGAGAGAGTGGGCGCCTAATGTGCGGCAGTTATTGCAAAGGAGGTTTAGTTTCGCCTTAAAGGATGTTCACTGGACATGTGCATGTCGAGGGCCCTTGCAACACCGATCATTGACCAGTGACGCCCGCTGGAAAATGACGAAATGCATTCTTCTGTGATTGTGAGGGGGTGAATCTGGTGAATGCAGTCGCCATGAGCTACGTACGGGAGGGTAGCTGTCCCTAGAGAGCAGAAAGAAGCATGATGCTTCATGTGTTGTGGAGGGCATCATGTTGAATTTTCAATCGAAGAAATTCTGTTTCGTTCTGTCTCCAAAACCGAGGGCCATATGATGTGGTAAGTGTTGGATGGATGAGGCCTGCCTCTTGTCTCCTGCACCGGTCAGGAGTCCTCGCCTAATGTCCCAATGTGATATGTCACCACGTGATGACACAATACAAGCACTAGATTCTGTCGCCCCCCACAACGTGGATTTCGCACCGGTAAATGATGTGCGCTTGGACCCAATGTCCTCAACCTTCAGCCTGGCGGGTGCAACGGTCTCCAAGGTTTTGTTTTCAGAGTTGCTCACTAGCCTTCGGAGCGAAAACAGGAAGTGGCCTGTTTGCGCTTACAAATCCCAAGGCATCCGATGAGATCCGTAGTTGCATTATTCGTTCTCAATTTGGATGCTACGGGAGATTCCTTTGTACTTCGAAGAGGGAACGACTACAGCAGCGTATCCTTCACAAGTACGCACAGCGAGCCACGCGTAAATGTTACGCCAAATCCCTCCTGCACAAAAACGACTTGCTTGTTGTGTCGTCACATCACAGTGAAATCCTTCGTGATCACGAGATCCGGTATGTGCAGCAAGTAATCGGTCAAACGACAAGTAACAACATATTCGCCTGATTGAGAGCGAAGTATCTGATTGAGAGCGAGAGCCAAAAAAATTGAAATTTCGGGTCCAGACGCCTCTTGCCATTTCTTGGCAAGTAGGGGACGGGCTATTCCAAGAAGCGGTGCAAATTGAAGGTCTCATCAGCAGCTTCGCGAGCATATGCGTGTCATCGTCATCGGATGCTGCAGCGAGGAGCTAGACAAGTTGCTAGATTTGCCCAGATTGGCTATTTCTGCTCAAACTGTTTCAGGGCGGTATCGCGTCGGGCGGTGGGCTCTGCTGTAGCTTCTGCTCCCCGCTGTAGCTCCACAACGAGAGACTCCCACAGGATGACCAGGGTAGCGGCTTGAAGCTACGGGCTAGCCCTTCAATTCAAGCTACACAGCAAGCTCCACCTCTCAGTGGTAGTCCGGCTACAGCGTATCGCGCAATCTCGCTCTCAATCAGATGCTACGCTCTCAATCAGGCGAATATGTTGTTAAGTCTGAAAAATATATTGGAACGGGAACGGAGGGTATTTGTTCCCTACCGCTGTGCAGTATGCGAGCCCCGTGCGCGATTGAAGGGGGAGGGTGTGTGATTTGTGTTTTTCGGTGAGAGGGCAAGAGGGCTATTACTTGTCTTCTCGAAATGAGCGACTTCGTGCCCGCCAAGCTGTGGCACTATTGAGACGAGAGACGCAAAACTATTACAACAGCAGTGAACCTCGAAGCATCTCTTTCAATCAATAGAACAGGAAAACAGGAATCGGCCCTTAGTTATGCTACCTATTGATGCGCTTGAATCCCAACGAACCATTCCCCACCGTTCGCCGCAACCAACGCGACACAAGCCTACTATAATAATACGTCCCTTGTGTTGAGCTATCACCACAGCACCACGACCCACCTAGACTGCTCCACGTCCACCCCACTCTCCCACACGGCAAGCGTACAAGACACTTGTCTTGCACTCCGGATCAGTAACAGGAGCTACTCTTCAAGAAACACATCCCGCTCCCCTCGGCAAAACAAACACAACGTGAAATGTACGCCCCTCGCTCTTTGCGTTGATGCACGCCCCGAACAACCTAGAAGAAACATGCTCAACATGCGCCACCTGACAACACAGCGGGATTAAATGGCAGCCATGGTCCCTCCCTGATTTACAAATGCACCCAGCATCCTTCTTTGCTATCAACGGATTAACAACCTGCCAGCTGCAACACCGTACCAAGGCGCGATAGACGGACTCGTCACGGTTCTTGCTTGTACTTGCTTATACTTGCTTATACCATAAGACCTAGAGAAAGCATGAACTAGAACGTGCCACTCACAGACAGGCGCAACGGGATGACAGACGACAAGCAGGACCAATCCAGGCTCGGACCAAACCCAAGTGCACGCCGGGTTCTCACCGGACCAGGGTCTCACATCACCAAGCGCGAAGCGCCGTGAGGTATTCGGCGAGTCGCATGAAGGGTGCGCTGCATCCTGCTAAGGGTGTTCGGAATCTTGTGCTTACTTCCTTGCGTACGGATGACAGCTGCGAATGACTTAATTTATTTTCTGGTGCTTTCACTTCCTGAGACAGTTGTAAGCACTTGTGTAACTGCCTCGAGGGTGCTTGGCCATTTCACCACAACGTGGTGCGATGATCGCCCTCGCGCGGAGTGAGGGTTCTCCACCCCGCACAACATAATCTACTCGACCACCATCATGGTTACCGCCAAAGAAACCCCGGTAACCTGGTTGTCGAGTTCACGGAGTGAATTGGCTTCTTTTACAACGTCGTTGCCAAGCGACGAAACCCAATCCCGATGGCAAACACCGAGGGGGGGGCTTGTTTTACAACGTCGTTGTCAAGCGACGAAACCCGATTAGGGGGAGTGGGGGCGTATTTGTGCCGAAATGATTCCGGCAGAAACAGAGAGAAAGTGTTTTCGCACACAACCTGTTCTCAAGCGACAACCATGGTTCAGCTCTCCCCAGGGTTCAGTCCTGGCACACCTGAATCTGCGCCATCTCCAGCCACCATCTTCACCTTCGATATATTGCAGTGGTCGCCACCTGGCGGGAAGAACCAGACGGCTGTGTCTAGCTAGAAGGAAGAGCACCGCTCGGACTTCTTCCTGTGCTTGAAACCCAAACAGCTGTACGTAGTCACGGGGGGAAACAGCAACAAGACAGCCCATGGTCAGAGCACACATATCAATAGCAATATGTGGGACCATTCCATCTTTCGAAGTATGCGAGAGTAGTAGAGGGAGCTCCATGTCCTTGCCAGTAGCTCGAGCCGGAACAACATCCAAAGGAGTGTTATAATATGGACGTCGCCACACAGAAAAGCCATGGATGGGCTGCACTGCCAGTTGTGAGCACAGGACAACAGATGTGCGCGAGAATTCGAGTTGACGCATCGGCTCTTTTGAACGGCATGGCCGGTTAAAGCACGTCCACAATCATTTCGTTGCAGCCCGTTGACTGTATAAAAAAAAGAGAAACCAACTTGAGGGTAAAGCAGTACAGTAGGTCGCTCCCCCTCCCGAAAGGTGAAGAATGATCGCGGGCAACCAACAAATGGTCAGCGGTACACGTAACAGCCGTACGAGCTAAACTTTGTTCGGACGGCACCGCTCAAAACCTCGTTTGTTTCGCACTCCCATAACAATTTTGTCCAATAAATGACATTCGTATACTGTTCCCATTCGCTGCTGGAAACGTCGCCTTCGTATGAAGCAAATATGAAGCAAAAAGGCATTCGGGAACTTCTACCAACCCAATGTATATCAGTACAGCGGAATAGGTGGAGCGAAGCAATCGAGGAAAAACAACTTAACAAACTTCCGCGCTTGTAAATGAGGATAATGGAGGCAATTTACAGGTCGCCTTTGTTTGTTTCAGTAGCAAAGAAACCACCGTCAAAAACTCTTTCTTCTCTCTCGTACCTCACAGAAAGCCCACCACCAAGCGAAACACGCCATCTGCCTCCAGTGCAATCAGCCTGCCCACCAGATCCCTCAAGTCCACCATCATGTCGTCTGCCGTCTCCTCATCATCCCGACTTGAACTCTCGCCGCTGACCTTCGCCACCTTCGCGGAGTTGCCGTTGATGCTGCTGCTGCTGCTGCTGCTGCTGCTGCTGCTGCTGCTGCCGTTCGCGATCTGCACCCTGGTCGGGCATGAACGGCTCAGCACTAGCCAGCCGCGGCGACGCCATGACCTGGCGGCTGGATCGCGCGCCAACATTCGTCGAATGCGCTGGTTGTCGGCCTCGAGTTCTTCGTCGTCAAGGTCATCCTGCTGCAGCGCTCGTACCACGTGTGCGGGCGTCTGTCCAACGTTGGTCGTGAGCTTGTCATCTGCCCCCCAACGTAGTAAAAGCTCAACGCCAACAGCACTCGAACGACTGCAAGCTACGTGCAGTGGTGTCTGGTCGCCTCCAATGCGCGCATTGATATTGGCCCCTCCCTCCAACAGGGCGCGAATCGTGCCGTCGGATGCTATCCGACGATTAACGGCAAGATAGAGCGACGTATCGCAGGGGTCTTTGGTGCCCTTGGCGCTGACATCAGCCCCAGCTCTCAACAGTACACGGACAGCATCACCATTGTCGCGGACAGGTCCATCAATCGATGCAGCATAGTGTAGGGCTGCCCATCCACCACCATCGGTGGCGTCGACTTCACCACTGTCTTTGTCAAGCAATGCCTTCACGACGTCCGCTTGACCTCTGTTTGCAGCAATCTCGAGCGGAGAACGGCTGCCGTTGGTACGCAGGCTGTAATTGGCACCAGCAGCTAGAAGCTCTTGGACTGCCTCGAGGTGGCTGTTCGCTGCCGCCTTGAACACAGTGGCGTTTTGCCGTGACGGTCGACCACATCCTTGTCTGCACCGCCCAGCAGAAGCTCAGAAATGCACAGCGCATTGCCGTGGAAAGCAGCCAGGTGGAGAGGAGTCTGCTGGGAAGCCGTCTTCGCGTGTACACAGGCCCTGTTCAGAAGAAGCATTCCTACAACTCGATGGTGCCCAGCTACGGCAGCGAGGTGGAGCGGACTACGTTTCCTCCGATCACGCACATTCGGATCTGCCCCATCGATCATGAGCGCCCTGCATCAGTCTTCAGCACCCCGAGCTGCTGCAACGTGGAGAGCGGACTCGCGTTCACCCCCGAACAGGACGTTTACATCATCCGTCGCCCCCGCGGTTAGCGTGGTGCGAACCATCTTCTCACTCCTACCAAATGCAGCCGCACCCAGCAGTGTGCGGCCATTACAACCCCGCCAGCCTGCTCCCGCGTTGGCACCAGCGTCCATCAGCCGTGTGAAGAAATCCAAGTTCCCCTCGGCCGCGGCATGCTCCCGAGGTGCTCGAAGCCACTCCTTCCATTGCTCTGAAGTTGCCCCCCTCTGGACGAGTTTGAAAATCTCGATCTCGAAGCCGTCAAGCCGTGAGCGGTCCTCTTCTTCACGTTTCGAACCTGGCATGGTCGGTCTTGGACTGCGCCAACTGGATCGCAATTGGTGGTATTGATGCACGGTGGCGCTGTCTTGGCTGTCAGGCTCTGCTGTCTTGGCTGGCAGGAGTGAGAGACGGGGATCGACGCCATGCCATGATGCGGTGAGACAAACACTGTTGTGTAGATGCGGCGGAACTCCGCAGACTGGCTGGGCCTTTGCTCCATCGGCCGTTTTGTTTGTATGACGGAGAATAATAAGAAGGTGAAACTACTTAAAATTAGTATAGAAATATAGTTTGTGTATCTAAATCAAAAATATAAGCAGGTAAGCAGAGTAGAGTGAATAGAGTGAGCAAGTAGAGTGAGAAACTTATGACCGACTTCCTCGCCAAAATTCCCTTGCATCCACGTAACGAGGCAAATACTGGAAATGCCGAAATGCCGCCAAATTCCGCCGAACCAGAAATCTACCCTTCAAAGAGTCAGCCAAATATGCACATGAAGGAGCACACACGCAGCCATTCGTCTGAGCTACTCTCCCACCTCTCCTTGTTTTCGAAGCTAGCCGGCAATTCGGATCCAGCCGTTGTGCGATAGGTAATCATCTCCGTTAGGATTTGAGGAGGACGGATTCTAAAGCTGTAGAGAGGCACTGCGCCTGTTCGCTCCTTCCTACTGCTACATGTTGGTATGTCCGTACTTGGGAGGAGAAGACACGCTTTAACTCTCTCTGATTAGGCACCCGCGGGAGCGAGGAAAGGAAGGGAAGAAGTGGCCCTCCCGAATTCGGGGAAGGGGGCCCACACATAGTAGCCTTTTTCAGGCATACTCATGCTCCTGTCTACGTACCCCCCCGTGCTGCTAGCAGATTCTACCATGCTCGTATCCAGACACACGAACACCCTCCCCGGTTCGTCAAGCTATTGACAAACCATCAGTGGGGCATGGATACTCCAGATGTACTTAAGTTACTCATACAACAACGGGTGCAAGCGAAAAACTCGGCCATCCGGATCAAAAACCCTCGCCTACAAACTCAAAACATAAAAGAAACCGTCGCTATCACAAAGGATTCCAACGGCCGCACTATCAGGGCAGGACCAAGGCAGGATAGATTGGACAGGCCACGCTGATTACACACCCGAAGCAATTGGTCAAAAACCCTAAGCTCCCGCCGCGGGTGACGCCCCTGCCCAACGCTTCCTGCGTGACATACCATGGTCCGAGACGCGCCCAGTGCTAGAACNCCCTGTGTGACATACCATGGTCCGAGACGCGCCCAGTGTTAGAACAAAACAAAACAAACGCCACGAAAACGAGACCAGAACCCTACATCGGCAGGTTCATCAGAGCCTTCCGGTGGTACTCCAACTTGCCCCTACCAAGGACCTTGGTC